TGGGGGTGGGGGTGGTGAGGTAGATTCACTGTGCTGAGGTCCTTGGTCCCTATAAACGTCCAAGAGGAAATACCCTTGAGGCCTTGAAGGAGGCTGCAGATTGAGGACTAGGTTGGAGTTCAGGAATCGTTTACTCAAGCAGTGGCTGAAATCAGGTGAATAGTACCTGAGGGAGTGGGTGCAAAGAAGGGCAAAGAGTTTAGAATAGAGGCTGGAGGACAGCATAGCTTGGGGCTAAGAACAGAGACCTGGAAATCAAATTACCTGGGTCTAGATCACATCTCTGCCACATTCAGCTGTGTGACGGTGTCTCAACCTCTCTGGGCTTCAGCAGCACCCATCAGTAAATGAGGATAACAATAGTACTGACCTCATAGGGTTGTTGTGAGGAGTCAGAGACAACCTGTGTGAGGACCTAGCACAGTGTAGCACACAGAGGGGCTCAGTAAGTAAGCCCCACATGGAAGTTGAATTAAAAAAGATAAGAGAACAGAGAAGCCCATTAAAAAATATATATATATATAACTTGAGAAAATAAAATGTTCCCACGTTATCCATGAGGAAACTGAAGCTCAGAGAAGTGCTTTGTCCAAAATGACACAGCCAATCACAGGAACAGCCAAAATTATTTCTGTGACACAATACTGCCTCCCCTGGCACTCTGGAACCTAGAGACCTCTCTTGAGAACCATTAATTTCTTTTGCCCCAGTATGATTTGAGCTACAATTGTCAGTCCTCTTTCTGTGTCACCCTTTTATTTTCAAATTGGAAAAGCCATTTAAAATATCTATTTCAGTCTGGAAGAGAGGATTCAAAAAAAGAAATCTTTTTCCTCTATATAATTTCTCACTGTCTCTTTCTTGAGCTGGTCAGGGAACCCTGCAGAGCCCATAGGTTTCAACAGTAACACGAGTTAAAGAGTTTTGGAATTGGGAAGATCTGCAGTTTAAATCCTACCTATGACCTTTCTTTACAAGAGGGTGACTTTGGGAAAGAGACCTCACCTCAGTGCCTCAGTATGATCAAAACACTACAGCACTGACCGCAGTGTGCTATGGTGAGAGGATTAAGTGAAATACATGTGCCTAGCATGTAGTAAGGACTCAGTACATACATGTTCTGTGGCCCCAGGCTTATATACTCCAGGTAAATGTTTTTCTAAATGTGCAAACTGATAGAAAGGGCGTGAATGCCACATATTAATTCATTCTACAAAGTGTTATTGAGTACCTACTAGGTTCCAGATACTGTTCTGGGTGCCTTGGGATGTATCAGGCAGCAAAACAAAGATTCCTGCCTTTGAGAGCTTCAACATTTACATCCTCCTGGGTGTGGGACAGCACAGTAACTGTGTGTGTCTGAAAGACAGCACACGCGGGCCTTTTGCAAACTCTGGTCACTACTATACCTAATGTACATAACTGTATGTTACTGTCTCCTATCTGTGATCAGGGGGTATGGGGTCAGGGAAAAAAATCCTCTTAATAGACTAGGAAAGTCACTGATGCCTAATTCTGGGACACAGCACATGCTTTAGTTAGAGCACTTTGTGGGCTAGGCCTGCTTTTTAAAGGAGCCTACTTGCCTTGAGTACAGCTCGAACTGGTGAAGGTGGTCCCAGAGTATGACCGGGAGCGGGGGAAATCAGCTGGAGCTACAAATCAGCTCTGGAAGGTAATTCTTCCACGCGCCTAATGGAATTTACAGTAGTTGCATTAACTTGCCTTTCGGAGGGAGTAGGGGACGAGGGTAGACAATTTACACGAACAAAAGCTCTAGATAACTTATGAAGTCCCTGGACTCCGGAGGCTGTAAATTTCGGACTCACCTGCCAAGATGCATTTGGCCGCCAGCTTCACCATGGTAACCAACCACCTCCACGCACCGAAGAGGGGAAGACCGGTTGCTAGAGGCGTTGGTAGGCTTTGCCTGGGAAAGGAAGCAGGGAGGGCAGACGCTCAAGGGCTTTGCAGCCACGGCGGGGACAGGGACAATGAGACCTGGACCCTACGGGCTGGGCTGGGGACGGCTATCGGAAGCTAGGGTGGGGACAGGGGTGCAGGGAAGTGACAGATGCGGCCTGGCTCAACGACTCAGAAGGCAGCCTGGAAGGTACGAGCCAAGCAATGCAGCTCGCGTTCCGGGTCCAGCCCCTGGCAGTGAGGATCGCGAAGGCTGATCCCGAAACCTTACGCCCCAGAAGCGGACTCAACGAGTTCAACCTGCAACCATCGCCCACCTGCCCCGCCTCCTCTTTCTCCACCTCCTCATCGTTGCCCCTCCATTGGCTGCCGCTAGAAAGCTCCCACCCTCATGGCTCTAGGAGGCCAATGGAAGGAGGGGGAGGGGATAAAAGCCCTTCCGTGCGAGATGATTCTCAGAGGTATCTGCTCTTCAGGCTCATCTCGCTTGACGAATGGTTACACGATATGTCAATCATTTTTCTCCGCGTCCCCGTCCCTCTGGGACGTTCAGGGAAAAGAGGCTCTAACAGCGGGTTGTCAGAGCGGTGATTGGCCAGAGGCTGGCTTGGACCATCCTTAGGAGGAATGGGGACTCGCTGCACCCCCCTGTTCTTGCGGAAGTGAGTTCGCCCACAAGGGGCCGGTCGGGCGCGCGGGAGCCGGCCGCGGCGCCTGCGCAGTAGTACTGCGAGGCTGCAGTTCCCCAAGCAGTTTCGAACCAAGTACCTTTCAGGGAGGTTCTTGTCGCTCTCCGAATTTTCAGGTTCCTGAGGGCGCTGCTGTTCGGTGCCTCCTGTCCCACATCCTGCAGGGATATCTTATTTTTAAAGCCCAAGGGTGTTAGGTGCTTTCAAATCTTCTGTTTGAAAGTGTTTAAAGTGATGTCTGTGAACAAAAAGGAGAACAAGTAAACTTCGATAAGACTGGGGGTTGGACTCGGGGTCTGAGATACGAAGGCATGCCTTTCCTCAGCCCATTTCCTCGCTTGTAAAAAGCGAGAACAGGTGACATACCACATAATGAGTGGAAGCGGGCCTCCGGGGCACTGCCGGTCGCCCAGGGACGCCCCGTCCGCAGCTGGACTTCCCGGCGAAGCCGCTCTTGCTCTGCGGTCAGGAAACCCAGACGGAAATCACTGCCATCTTCCTGACCTGGCAGGTCGCCTCACGCCCAGCTTCTTACCTCATCTTTCAAGATGGGCTAGCAGAACCGGCCTCATGGCGCCGGCCTGAGGACTCAGGGAGAAAGCATGCAAGTGCCTGGGGTGTCGCAGGTGCTCGGCAGTGACTGTGGAGGTTGAGTGAGAAGAAATTTCTCCGGACAAATTGGTTTGCCAGATGCATCCTTGCTCTCGCTGCAGCCGGGCCCCTGGCTGGCTGGCACTGAAAGCAAAGAGCAGCCCCTCAGCGCAGATGCCTGTGCCTGGGATTCGCCATCACGGGCCTCTCTGGTTACCTGGGACTTCTCTCAGCTGCTCTGCCGTCTTAGTGTGGCTACCAGTCTGGGGCAGGGCAATGAACACATACACACACTCCATGAACTGCTAGGAAGGTGTCAGCCCTGAATCCAGAAGGAAACAATGAGAGTTGTCTGGAATTTTCTTTCCTTGGGAATCATTCCTGTCATTATGGTGAAGACCTGTCTCTCCTTCTCACCACCCACTCTTCTTTGGAGACATCACACAAGTCTGTCTTGGACACCCCAGGCGTCGGTGAGTCAGAAAGCCTCTGCCTGGTCTTCCTGCTTGGCCCTCCAGGTTTACCTGTTAACTGTGACCCCATTAAGTCCTTAAAGAGCCCCCTGAGTTAGTCAACCTCCCCAAGCCGCATGGTGGAACCGAGACACGGAGATACATCCCGGTTAGCCGCTGGTGCCTCAGTTTCCCCATCTGCAGGGGGGCAATAGCACCTCCTTCATGGGGCTGTCCTCTGCACCACACCTGTTCTCTCCCTTCTGTTGCTCCTGCTCAGAATGTGATTTTGGCCAGCACCGTTGTAAGAGCATTTTGGATCTTTCCAGAGAGGTGGTAAATCCACAGTGAATTCTATCCTGCTCACTCGACCAACCCAAGGGCCTTCTCTACATTCTTGGTGACCAAATGACAGCTGCATGACTCAGAGTCACTGAGCTTAAGTCAGTCAGAAGGTTTTGGTGCCTTAAGGACCCTTGAGAAATCTAGTCAGACCCCTTCCATGAGCAGCTATAGCAGCTAGAGTTGGCATATGTGGTGCACAGACTGAGTGCCAGCCTCATCTAAGCTCTTCAAAGGATTAATTAACCTAATATTTGTGTTCATATTTGGTATTCACAATAACCCCTGTGATGCTTGTGTCACTCCCCATTTGATGGGGAAACTGAGGCCCAAATGAGGTTAAGTCAAATGCCCATGGTCACAAAGCTAGTGAATGCTGAAACTGGGGATTGAGCACAGGTGACTGTCAACCTCCTGGCCCCACAGAGACCTGGGCGTCCCTAACTCCTCTCATACTTCCTCCCATCCTGGACAGTATGTATTTATTGAGTTCCTTGCTGTAATAGCTAACACTGATTGAGCATTCTATGCCAGGCACACGCTAAACCCTTCACATCCTCTCTCTTGTTTGATGCGATGACTCTGGGGACTGGAAACTATCATCACTTCAATTTAACAGGCAAGAAAAAATGAGATCCATAGAGCCCAGGGTCATGCAACAAGTCAGCTGGAATCAGAACCAACCTCAGGTCTCTCACTCTTGGGACCTATGTGTTTTTCCATTGCCTGGTGTAGTTCCGTTTCATTAATAAGCTTTCCTTGAGTGCCTATCCTCAGCCAGGCACTGTGCCGGTTGGTGGGGTCACAAGGTAAAGGTGACAGAGTCCCAGGTGGCTCTGGCAGATGGTGGCCATGTGGGAATGCTGGCCCTGTGTTGCGGGTCACTGCATTTTCTAGAGGAGGCAGGAATCTGGATTTTTGTGTGCAGTTCCATGACTCTTCAAATTTTGGTGATGCATTTAAACCTTCAAACACTGCAGCCTCAGTAGAATACCTCTGTCAACTGGTTCAACCTGGGGGCTGCCTGTTGTGATGTTTAGTTGAGAAAGAAAGACAAATGTGTGAGCAAATCCTCATGACATGAGGGGATCCAGGATCCTGAGGAGTAGCCCTAACCCTCGATAGGCAGAGGGGAGTTGGAGAGGATATTCTGGATGGAGGGCCTTGAAGACTGGTTAGGAATATGTGAGGTGGACACAAAGGAAAGGACACCCTTGGTAGATGGAACAGCATGTGCAATGGCATGGAGCTGTGGGAGAGCATTGAGCATTTGGAGAATGACAGGTGACTCTCTTTGCTGAGGTGCAGATGGGAGACTTAATAAGAGAAGGATCTGACCCAAGCACCTGCTTGAGGCCAAATATATAACCAAATGACAAAAGAAAGTGAGGCAAGGTCTGGCACAGAACAGTCTTTGAGGAATTCACTCAACAAATATTTTATTGAGTATTTAATAAGCACCATGGACAGAACCATCATAGTTAATGTTCTCAGGGAGCATCCAGCCCAGTGCAAAGACAGAGAATCAAGTGGTGATATCTGACTGCTGTAGTGTGTGTAGTAGGTAAGTGTTCTTCCATTAAGCCCAAAATATTCCATGCTATGATCCCTGGACCAGTGGCATTGGTATCACATAGTGGCTTGTTAGAAATGCACATTCCCAGACCCCACCCCAGACCGAATGAAACTGGGGGTGGGACCCACAGTCTGTGTGTCCATCAGCCTTTCTGGTGATTCTGATGCATGCTCAAGTTTGAGAAGCGCTGCTCTTGGGGCATACCAGGACCCACCCTTATCCATTTTCCCTCATCATTTTACTGTTTATCAAATTCCCCAAGGCCCTTCATATCTCAGGGCCTTTGCACATACTGTTCTCAACATGACTGCATGATTCTTTTCCCTCACAACTTTCAAATCTTTGTTCAAGTGTCATCTCCTTAGAGAGTCCCTCCCAAGCACCCAGTTTAAAGAATCACCCCTGTCAGTGTCAGTCTCCTTGAGTTTGCTTTCTTCATAGCCCTCACCACGACCCGATTTTATATTCTGTATTTCTTGTTCATTTGCACAGTGTCTGTCACCTCCACTAGAAGGTAAGCTTCATGAGAACAGGAACGTAGTCTCTTTTGTCCTCCCGATATCTGTGACAGTGCCTGGCATGGCGAGATATTTGGTAAATATTTTTGAATGAATGAATGAATCTGGCAGAGTTTACCCTTCTGGTCATTCATTCATTCAATGAGTACCAATTCTTGAGTACCAGTTTTTGTGTAGGTAACAAGCTCATTGCTGGGAGAGTTGCTGTGGCCATTCAGATGGGGGCAGCCTGATGCGTGCATCCTCCACTGTCCCCCTACCCCTCACTGCAAAGCCAGCTGCAGATCTGTAGAACCTGCAGACCCATAGGCTTTGTGGAGGAGGAGGAGGGGTTAACAGTGCTGCTCCCCAAAGCCTAGGATTGGGCTGTTTGAGTGGGTGAGGAAGCAAGGGCTTTGGATGGGAAGGAGGTGGAGAGCAGCTCCTTGCTGGCAAGTGGTTCCCAGGGACTGTTCAATCATCCTGGCGTTGAATACCTCCCAACAGCCCTGACAGACAGCATGCATCTGAGCTGCGGCTCAGTACCAGGGACAGCCACACTATTCCGAGCACCCCATCTGCACTGATCATGCCCAATGCACGGCACTAGTCCCTCCACCATTGCTCCAGGGGGTCCTCTGGCTAGGCCGCTCCTCAGAGCCCCATCGCCTGCAGTGTGTATTATTAGCAGGATTGTTGGAAGCAGAGCAATCCCTTTGGGTAAATAAGAAGCTTTAGGGGAAATTAGTGGGGAAAGGTCTCTTGAGAGTTCCTCAAGATTACCTTTCATACATTAAAGATTTGCCCAATGCCCTCATGTCAGAAGGCAAAGCAAAAGAGAGGACTGGTAGATTGGTAGGAATTTTATATATTTAGATCAGAGTTTCTCTGCCTCGGCACTATTGACATTCTGAATTGGACGATCCTCTGTTGTGGGGCCTGTCCTGTACGTCATACTCTTGTTTGATGCGATGACTCTGGGGACTGGAAACTATCATCACTTCAATTTAACAGGCAAGAAAAAATGAGATCCATAGAGCCCAGGGTCATGCAACAAGTCAGCTGGAATCAGAATCAACCTCAGGTCTCTCACTCTTGGGACCTATGTGTTTTTCCATTGCCTGGTGTAGTTCCGTTTCATTAATAAGCTTTCCTTGAGTGCCTATCCTCAGCCAGGCACTGTGCCGGTTGGTGGGGTCACAA